TTACTGCATATTTATTCATTTATTAACGCTGCATTATACTGCTTTTGGTTAGTACATATCCAGCTGCATTTTGTTTTCTGAAAGTAGATGTTGCTCTATGTAATCTGCTTTGTTAAGTTTTTTCAGACAAGGATGAACACAGTCAATCCATAATCTAATAAATATTGCTGTACTCTTGAAGTTTATCACAAGGAACTCTTGGCAACCTTTGAGATTTTGGACTCTATCCTCTGTCTGTCTTGCCTTATCAGGGTGTGTATTTGAATGCACCTATATTTCCAGGTCAAGGGCTATTTTAAAATCAGTTTGCATATTGGAGGCTGGTTAATATTTGGTCTGTTCAAACTCTGTAAGTGCCTTCTCTGTTCAGGTTCCAGCAAAGGCAAAATCCTAGGGGAATTAATGAAAGAGTGGATGGTTGTATCATAGCCTGCAATTGTAATATACTCCCAAACACTGCGATTTTGTACTCTTTTTATAATGAACGGTTTTATTAATATGACATTCCCAGTTTTCAGAACCGGAGACAAGCTGAGAGAAGGCTCTGTGCTCAGAAAATTGGCTAGTGAATAAAGTGCTTCTCACCTGCAGGGGGGTGTTCCCAATTGTTAAATGCTGGGGGTGGTACTTAAAAGATGACAAGGACCCACCCTCTCCAGGAGACCTACATGAGTTAGGTTTATTAGTGGTCTGTACAGGGCTCATTTTTAGCAGAGAGGGCATAATTGGGACTGTAACTGGAGACTAGAGAAAAGAACTTTAAACTGTAGGCCAGGATTGAACTGGGAATTAAAAGATTCCTGGGGACTCACTGGGTAGACAGGGGTTGGGGAAGGGCATTCTAGGCAAAGGACACATGGGGCTTTTTCTTGAGTCAGCATTCCAGGCCCAGGGTTGCAGATGCAGCAGAGGATCCTGAGAGCTGAAGGAGGAGGGATTGCTTAGAGGATATTATCACTAGGACTTAAGAAGAAGGGCTGAGACTTAGAACACTCAGTTTAGCAAAGGATCTTCATAGAAGCTAGGTTTTAGGTGGAGGCAGTTGAGAGGTGAAATAAATGTTGTTAGTTATCATCTGAAAGTGGCAGTGAAAGGGAGGGAATGCAGGATGGCAGCTAGAGAGGACAGGAGGATGGGGTGGAGATTCTTCTTTTTAGGGGAGGGAGATGCTGACCAGGTTGGGCAGGCCTTAGAACCTAGAGAAAGGTCAAGAACATAGATTACTGGGATATGCAAAGAAAAAGAGATGCATGGTCCTCCCTTAAGGAAAGAAGGAATGGAGGGTGGATATAGAAACTTTTCAAGAAGCAGAAGAAGGAAGATCAAAGTGTTTGGTTGGTGCCATCAGCTTTCTCAGTAATGTGAGAACTCAGAACCAAAGATCTTAGAAACAACCCAGTTCTTTCTGTGTGTGTGAGTGAGAGAGAGAGAGCAAAAGAGAGAGAGAGAGAGAATGTGTGTAAATAATAAACTTGCTCTAAATTGTGATTGTTTTGGTTCACAGTGAACCTAGAGCAAGTGGCAGTGATGTCTGCCCAGTCACAGGCTGGGACTACCCAGGTACATCATACCAAGTTTGAAGTGTCATTTTTACAGACTATGATATGAAATGAACAAGAGGCAGCTATTAGAACTATATGGAATTATCAAACTCAGTGGAGATTCAGTTGAACACAAATTTGTGGAGTACCAAATTAGCATAGTTTGTAACTCAATAGTAGTAATGGTGGTAATAATGGATTCATGTAGAGTGGTTTAGAATTCACAGAGTACTTTCCCATCTTTATTTGCTTCTCCCGGTGACTATCTGTATTAGGAATATTCTCATTTAATAGGTGAGAAGGAAGGGAAAGGGAGTGAGTTAGGGCTGGTGGTGCCAGAGGTCAAGGATGTGTAAGGGGTTAGAGAGAGCGCGAGGTCAGGGTTGAAGTGGCTGACCACAGTGCAAGGTGAGCAGGGAAGTGGAGCAGTGATGCTCTCATGGGTTGTACTTCACGGGTAGCAACTTTCAGTCTGTTGCCCCAGGCTGGAGGGCAGTGATCTCATTGCAGCTTAGCACAATTTCAAACTTCTAGGCTCAAAGGATCCTCCTGTCTCAGTTTCCTGAGAAGCTGGGACTATGCGCACCTGCCACATTGCCTGGCTGATTTTTCTATTTTTAGTGGAGATAGGGTCTCACTCTTACTTAGAGTGGTCTTGAACTCCTGAGCTCTAGTGATCCTCCTGCTTTGGCTCCCAAAGTGCTAGGATGACAGGTGTGAGCCTCCTCACCTCGCCTCTCAGAGAGAATGAAGGGTGAATCTTTCTTTGGGACCATCAAAGGTGTCAGATTCTCAGTTAATCTTTCCTAGATTTGCATGAGGGAAGGAAGCTTGGCCGTTATCAGTGCCGTTTCTCTACAAGGCAATTCTCCCTGACAGAAGAAGCTCTGCAGGGCTACTTCTGTTTGGGGGCGCTTGGAACAGCCATCTCACAGTATGTCAAAGAAATATATTTTGGAGTGAAATATTTTTATTTTCCTTCATTCACGTTGAAGTTGTGGCCAGTAAAGGGACGCCTGTCTGTGGGCAGATGCTGAGACATTTGGGGTTGTGAAGTTGAGGTGTAAATAATCCAGAAATCCGTTCATTTCTGTCCTTCTCCTTTGAGATGTTTGCAGTCACTTTCACAAATATGCTAATATTTTTATTTTTATTTTTTGTAGAGACAGAGTCTTACTTTGTTGCCCTTGGTAGAGTGCTGTGGCATCACATAGCTCATAGCAACCTCCAACTCCTGGGCTTAGGTGATTCTCCTGCCTCAGCCTCCCCAGTAGCTGGGATTACAGGTGCCCGCCACAATACCCAGCCATTTTTTGGTTGCAATTTGGCTGGGGCTGAGTTTGAATCTGCCACCCTCAGTATATGGGGCTGACACCCTACCCACTGAACCACAGGCACCACCCAATCTGCTAATATTTTAAAAATAAACTCTTAACTTTGGAATAATTTAAGAATTACAGAAAAGGTGGAACT